CCCCGGCCCCCCTGGAGCTCTCTGCAGAGGGCGGCGGGCTCCCAGCGACTTTGCTCTGGAAAGAACAAGCCGCCTGCGTCCTGGCTCCTGGGGCAGCTGATGGACAGGTCTGGGCTATGGACTCGGGACCTGGGAGGCTCTGTCTTGCTTCAGAGCCTCAGTTACTTGGCCCCTGGTTAGTCCTGGACCTGGGGGTCAGGCGGTCGCCACCGCGGGGGGTCCCCAGGGTCCTGCCCCTTCTGTCCGAGGCGCTCTGCCTGCCAGGGAGCCCGGGGCGAGGACGCCTGGCTGGGGAAGGCAGCGTGGTTCCGAGGCTGGCTTCCGGAGAAGCCGCGCCCTCGTTGCCATGTCCTGCAGGAAGCAGCCTGGGAGCTCCTACATGCATGTCCCCGCATGCACACCATGCACATGCACACACACACATGTACCTGCACACACAGACACACACACCTTGCTGAGTGGCCCGCTCTCGGGGGCCTGCATCAGCCCCTGCCCCACACGGCAGAGCTAGGGAGGGAGGCCCATCCCAGGGAGCAGCAAGGGGGCAGAAAACACCCTTAAACTCTTCACCTCCAAGCCGCCTGCACTCCCTGGAGTGTGGCTGCTCAGGATCCAGAGCCCAGAGCCGCGGCCGCCGGGCCCAGGGTGGGCAGTGGCTCGCTGGGGCTTCCCAGCAGTGTGGCCATGGGTCCCAGGGACCTTGGGGGCCAACCTTACAGACAGAGGCTCACTGTCCTGAGGAACCAGGGTCCTAGAGGGCCTGGTGACAAGGCCCAGGCCTCCTCATTCCTGTCCCCGGCCACCTGGAAGGGACACACTGCTTGGATGTCCAGGAGCCCAGGCTGCCTTGCCAGGCTCTCTGCTGGCCTCCCCCATGCGTCCTCCCGGGCTGGGGCCGTGTGCACAGGGGGCTGGGGTCCAGGGCGTGGGCCCCACATGCTAGCTCGAGCGGCCAGTTGGTCCTGTCCCTGCTCTGCTGAGGGCCGGCTGCCCCTGGGAC